CACACCTAATTTGATGTAATAATAATATATACTGTGAGTGTGTGAAAAATTAATCCTAACAACAGAATCAGCCTTATGAGTATTGGTAATGTGGTGATACTATTCTTCTTCTTTTTCTTTTATCGAAGAAAAAAAATTAGTTTAAATTCATAAGCTCAGAATATCATCTCCTTTATAAAATCGCATTTTGATGTTCCTATCGGCTAAACTTGAGTCTTGGAGACAGATATGAGGATTTTTTTTCAAAAGGAAAAAATCTCGTGAGGAATTTTACGCAATTGCAAGATTGACTTGGGCTGGAAAGCTTGAAAACCCAACCCTATTGCCGTTTAAAATTTGAACCGAGGACTGATCTGGGCTTTATTAGGATCGGGTGTTCTGTTGAGTTTGTTTGGGAAAGAACCACCGTCCATATCCGTTATTTAAAAGTAGCGTCGAATTACCTACATGCTGCCCACAGCAGCCTGATTTGTACACAATATTTTTAGTTTCTTATACACTATCGCTGTACAAATTTTTTGTTTTATACTAATAGATTTAGATCATTACTACATGATATCAATTTAAATTTTAAATTCAAATCATGCACATGTGATGTATATATATAGCTACTAGTATAAAAAAAGGTTACTATTACTTTACCCTCTTAACGTTTGGTGCAACTATCAATTTCTCCCTTAACGTTATCTATTAGTCACTTTATTCCCAAGACTAACGATCAAACTTAACAAAGTTTGTTAATTAAAATGAAAAGACATGTTTAATTCTTAAAATTATTATCACTTTGCCCCCATAAACTAGAGTCTCATTATCAATTTACCCATTGGAGTTATTTTTTAGGCAATTTATCCTACCATTAAACCAATTTAGAAAGTTAAAAAAACTTCAAAAAAAATACCCTCCTCTTTACATAATGAAAATAATAAAAAATTTAAAGTGACTCTTCTCTTTTTTAGTATCAAGAAAAAAGTCAAAATATTAATTTCTTTTTTCTTGGCAATCTTATTAATATAAAAAAAATAGAAAGATGGAGAGGGGGAGGGGGAGAGGGAGAGAGAGAGAACTCAGTTCTTTTTTTAAAAAATTATAAATAAGAAAGAACTAAATACTTTTATTATTTTAAAATTATTTCATTTTTTTAATACCAAATTCCAATCCTAATCCCGATAACGGTAAAATAATACGGTAATGTTAGACTTTTCTTTATTTTTTTCTTTACAAAATCTAATTTTCTGTCTCCTTCTTTCCTATCTCATTTTCTTTTCCTAATATTAATAAGTGTGAAAAAAGAAATTTGAGAAAATCATTTTATTTTTATGTTTTTCGATCTCTTAAAGTGGAAAAAAAAAAGAATAACTATTCCAATTTTTTTACTTTTAATTATATATAAAAAGGGTAAATATATTTAAAAAAATTTTAACCATACTAGTTAGATTAACGATGAGGTAAAATACCTAAAAAATAATGTTAGTAACTAAAGTGATTGTATTACTATAATCTGAAAAAATAAATAAAATCTAAACAAATAAAGTGATAATCTAATCTATCAATGTATAAAATGTTAATCCATTTTTTAATTCATTTTAAATTGTTTTTACAACTAACCAATTCTTGCGTTGTGCCTAACTGCTAATCATTATGACACTCTTGTCTCTTCGACTTTCTGATCATTATGCTAATCCTTTCTTAAACATATTCAATGCAAAAAAATGCAGTCAAGTTTTTCATAAATTTTCTTTTTCCATGTGACGTAAAAGCCACTAGTAATCAACTACTAGTAACAAAGTACGTATAAAGGCTTGATACCACATTTGCAGGTTGATTAAAATTGATTGTCTCTAGGCAGTAGAATAATTAGGATAAATTTTGCGTATATATACACGATTACATTTACCACAGCTCATATTATAATGTAATTAATTATTGGAGAAACAACAAAAATGTAATTTAGATTGTCACCCGTGTAGATTATATATAGTAGCTACTAATTGTCGTGTAACACCTGTCTTAACATTGCAAATGGTGTGCTAAATAAAAAGAAGGAGCTTTATCTCTAGTTCTTTAACCGATTTTTATACAGGAGCAATTATCGTCTTAAGTGATAGAATCGTTTTTTTTTTCTCAAGACGGCAAGTCATATTTGGAGTCTCATTGTTTTGCTATTCCAATCATGCAAGCCCCCTTCTCCAAATAGCAACAAAATGTTGGACACCCCTAAAACATATTATAACAAATAAATAATATTTTTGACACTGACAGTATATATATAATATAAACTAATTAAAATTATATATATAATATACATTAACGAGTATAAATACATGTCACATGCATAAAATATGAATTTCAGAACAAAATTAAAACTACATGATATATATCAATATCTAAATTTGTTAGTATATATAATGTTGGTGTGAGAAATACCCATCTTTCAGCTAAGCACAAAATAGAGTTATGGTGCATATCTCTTTAAGAACTTGATGCAAAATTCCTCGTTCTCACATCTCTTATTACTTCCCTGCAATGTTGTCGTGCTCCTCCATAGAAGGGCACAAATCCAACCGCTTTAAATCCTCTGCCCCAGATTTTGTCGCTCTCCCATATTTGTTTAAATGTCACGTGTATTGTACTATTAGACTTATCCCCAATAAAATTTAAGAGTTATTACTGCTGTACTTATTCACAATAGAATTCTAAAACTTATTAATCAATACACGTAGCAGTTAAACAATCGAGACAGTCCATTTCAAAACGCAAATCCAACAATCTTGTTGGGATACCAGCACATAGTAGTGTTGTGATTTGTCCATGAAATTCAACTGCATGGGAGTGCGTGCGAATGGTGAGATCTGGGCATGGATATGTGCTTGTGCTCGTGCACCGGCCGTCAACTTTGGAGAGCATGCTTCCTCCTCCTCCATTGCCCTTTTGAACTTCGGAATGGTGTGCTAATCATACAACACTAGGAGAAAACAGCCGCCCCTCCACTTGCTGTTTCTACTATGAAATATATGGACTTAATCTGTATTTTTTTTTTGTTTTTATTCCATGATTCTTTTCATTTTTTGGTCAATTTTAGAACATGTTGAAGAAATTTTTATTCTCTTCTTCCACAATTTTTCTTTAGTTTCTTTGGAATACAATAATTCCAGATATTAAATGGATTTAATCTATGATTAGGACTGTAGGTAGGCGTCAACGCAAAATTGAAATAATTACATAGCAGGACCACCATTAGCTAATACGTGTATGGGGATGGTCAGTTGATGAGAAGTCAAATACGCAGAGCGAAATCTCTATTATAGTGTAAATGGATCAAAATTGTAAATAATATTCGTAATGATTAATCAAAGAGTAAAACCTAATCAATTGAATACAAATTTTGATGTATAACTAGCATAAGTGATGAAATAGATTATGAACCATATTGATTTTTGAAAATAATTTTTAAATTAACTTTATTCGAGCGTGATGATGAGAAATTCTCTCCAACTCAATGGAGAGGAGCCTAGTCCTAACATTGTGCAGATCCTTTTTGCCCATCTGCATGCGTAAAGAGATCGAGGAGAATATGCAGCAGTTTTTGCTCTTAAGAAATTTGCAATTGCTGAGTCTATTTTTGGCAAACCTTTTGATGCAAGTATGATTTGCTTGGCCAAAAGTAAAAGCCAATGGCAACCTTGTATTCGAAGTCAGAAGAGTTACTGCAACATCAACAAAACCCATCATGACGCTTCCACTACAAGAACAATTCAATTGTAGAGATGCTTGAATCATGATGTATATACCTAGCTAGTTTTATTTCTTGGAGAATGCCAATGGTTCAACTTGACTTTTGTCTCTCAAATTTTAGCTATTTCTAGCGTAATTAAGTCCAAGGTTCAGTTTTTCTTCTTTTGTTCTTTGTTTTTTTTTTTTTTTTTTCCGTTTTATGGAATTTCAAATTAATCAGCTCTTTCTTGAATCATGCAGCAGAAACCTGACAGAGACCTAGACGAAACCTTCGATGCTTTGTTAAAAATATTCTGCAACTTCTTTCTTCTTGAAACCCTTATAAAGCTGCTTTAACCAGTCACCTATATCTTGGATGTCAATGATGCTACCTTTGTTTTCAATTCAAAATGATCTTCTTTATTTCAACACAAATTCAGCAGCTATAAAACAAGGGAAGTAGAAAGTTTCTGTAATATAATAACATCCTGTTAACAAAACCTCAGGAGTTTAATGATGGTTAATATTAATTATAATTGACGTGCCAATTTTACTCTTTTCCAACTATGGCTTATGTGAAAACCCTTTCCTCTTTTTTGGGTTTGATGAATATATATATGCAATACTTAAAAATGACAGCTAACTGTTGTCTATCTTAAACATTCTTCTACCTTTTCTAGTTCAATTTTTTTTTAACCAATACGTAGTACCTCTCTGATTTACAAATTGGGTAGACCACGCAGATCAATTCATATTTTCATATCATTTGGCAGAGTAAATGTAAATTAGTTCATGAATATAAATTGTAATTATAGTACTGTCTACAATTCAGTAGAACCTTAAACATAAGTAGCCATGTCTAGAAGTTATGGGACTAAAGGAAACACATTACTATTTTTATAAGGCCATGTATGCAAGAATATTCTTTTTATCCATTGGTGCTGAAGTTTGGAAGCAGCATTATGCCATTATCTATACTCTATAGAGGCAAAAAAATTGTATAACTGATCCATACCGTGAATTCAGTCTATATATTCTTTGAAATGAAAATTAGTTTGGAATCCTCATGATTCTTGTCAATGTTTGTAATTAAAAGCTAAGTCTACGATTATCATTGACAAATACAAAACCAAATTGGCGGAAGTTTGACTTACAGACAAAGTTTGTATACTTTTGTATTTCGAACTTTCGTATTTCGAACTTTCTTCTTCTTCTTGTTTTTTTTCTGGGATAAATCAGAAGATTCAGAATTCATTTAAGTTCTAAAAATCTATAGAATATAACTCCAGTGATACATAAATCTATGCATGCTTATTTGACATGCACTAATGACTAGAACTATGCATTGATTATTGATTAATGATCAGCACACAAGTACATCATTTGGTGGCATGGAGTCAGGAGGGTATCCTTCCAACAAGCAGAAAACTGGTGGAATTGTAAGAGTTTTAAGGGATCCATAAGCATTCCAGCAATAGGGATCCAATATATTCTGTCCCTGAGCAGGAAACAATTCAACATCTGAAAGCGTGAGATTTGTACATGGCACAGAATCACTGCAGGCTAATCGCATTGGTGGGCTTCTCACATCATAAGTCCCTTTAATGTTTGTGTACAATATGTCAGAAACGTATACTGCTGAAGTCTGATTCTGGCAGCCCTTTGTCTCGCAGTAGTATTGGTCTATGATGATGGGATTTCGAACTGTGTCCATAACAATGTTGTTGAAAGTCACCTTGGATACTGATCCAAATCCACCTTGCCATGTTTTGATTCTCACACCATTAGCTGAGTGCTTGATCAATGAGTCTGTCACTGTTATATTTGACACGCATGCTTTGGTGTTCTGTTTGCCAAGGCTGCCAATGCTGTAACAAGATAAAACATGAGGTTAAGGATATCTCAAAGAAAAGGCTAAACTCCTTTTTTTTTTCCTTTTAAGGGGGTATGGGGGATAATGGGTAGCTTTAGTGCTCCATTTTCCATTAGCATTCTTGAAAATGGACAGGCTTTGACATTTGTTATACATCTTTTAGTGTCACGACAGCAGTCCAAATCTCAACTCGATTGCTAGTTGATGGAATGAGCCCGGTAAGCTAGCATGACTTGTTTTGACTACATTTCAATTCGTTAGCTGGGCAATTATGCATATGCTTAATGGCCACTTCCAAGGAATCTTGCAATTTTAGGGTCTCACACTTTTGGTGGTTGTGGTGATAGTTTCACACTTAATTTGGAGGTTTTGGAGATGGAGTTAAACTTTGTTTCTGCCTTAGTTTAGTACAAAAGAAGAGACACAGAGATTGCAGGGCAGATACCTTATTCCATGACTGGGACCACATGTTATGTTCCTTATGTCTACATTATGACAACCAGCTCCAATTGATACACAGTCATCACCTATGCAAAAAGGCAAAACTATAAGAGTCATGCAATAGACTTGAAACCTTAAAAGGTGCCTATGAAGAAAGAAAGGAGCTTTTGAGAGGCTAAAATATTACTAGTACCATTGTAAATAATTGTGTTATGTATCCTGACATCACTTGTGTTCTCTATGTGAATACCATCAGTGTTGGGACTAAGAGAAGGCGATTTTATGTAGAGTGAATAAACATTGACATCTTGGCAGCCATCAAAACGGAAATGGAATTGAGGACTGTTTCTAACTCTAAGCCCTTGTACTGTCAAATTGGAGCTCATAAAAAACCTTATAGCCTGCAACAAGTACAGCAATTCATCAGGATTACTTCAGAAGGAATTGTGTATATATAGAACTGCAACAACAAAATATAGTAGTCATGTTGTGCTTAGGATTTAGGACTTACAACCGGGCTGTCACAAGGACCATGTGAAGTGGTTCCATTTACTCCCTGTGACATTAGTACAATAAGATTTGAGTCCTAACAAAAGGGTAAAAGGGCTTTAACAATAATACTACAACAAAAAAGATATACTTTGTGAGGTTTGCAGGGAAGATTCCACCAGTTTTCTCCTCTCCCATCTATTAGTCCACCACCTTGCATTGTCATTCCGCTGACTCTGTAGAAGACTAGCCATTGTCGCTTACTGTAATTCTTTGGCCATGAATCAGGTCCATCAGGTGGCATAATAGTTCCTTCAATCTGTATACAGTTAGACATGAAAAGAAATCATCAACGTGTGTTCAATCATTAGTTCAACACATATCTACCCCTTCTAGTGAATGCAATGTTACCTGAAAAACTAGTCCACTTTTGCAAGGACCTGTGAAGATGGTAGACTGTATCATGAAGGAATAGCGACTGGGAACCAAAAGAATGCCCGAGTCAGTATGGCATGCATCATCCCAGGCCATTTTGAACGCTTGTGTGTCATCAGCGACACCGTCACCTACTGCCCCATAAGATAAAACATTGAAAATTGCTGCAAAATCTGCAGGACTAGGGGAATGAGCCTCAGGTGCAGGAGAAGGAGGTAGTGAAATTTGAGACAGAACACGAAAATGTGGTTCTTGTGGCTCTTGGAAGAAGTTACTAAGAAGCCTGCTCTCAGCTTGGAAAGCTGAAAAACAGAAGAAAATACAGAAAAACAGCAGGAAAACCTTATTAAATTCCATAATAAGTATAGCTTGTCTCCAAAAACAGAGGATTCCTTTTATACAAAAACCACACGGTGGTACACAAAAAGAATTTGACTACTTGCAGCTTAGCATGCACTCGGCACTCCCTTGTAGTAGCTAAGAAAATTAGAAATGTCTCTATTGAGTAATGGGTAGGTTGTGGAGATGGAGCATGCTTTTGATATTCAGAGAATGGAACTCAAGATCAGAGGTAGTTTTGTCACTATCAATAGCTCAAGATCATAGGTTCCCAGGTGAAGGCTCCCACGTTTTCAGGAAGTCTAAAGAAGCCACCAACAGAACTAAGTTGTTTCCGTGACCACTGCCCACTAAGGCCACTATTCAACTTGGCTGATCTCTTCAGTTTTTACAAGTAAACTGTATATGTTAGCTAAGAATGTTGCAGAATCCATCAGCTGAATGAAATCAGATTTATACTACATTGGAACTGTAACAAACTGTTAGTGGAAGCTACCTTTTTTCAGGGTCGGTATATGCAGTTATGCACCTCTCATTTTTTTAATCTTAGCAAAACCGACCAATTCCATCTAGAGAATGGCATTTCAGTTGAGGATACGTGGAGAGTTCATTGGTGGATTCTGAAGAAGAAAAAAAAGGGTGTGTGCTGCATTTGTTGGTTTATCAGAAAGTAATCATTGTTGTATAAAATCTATTAAGATATCCTCTTCAACTGCTGAATGCATGCCCTCCCATTGTTTCCACTTTCCCTGGTCCCCAAAGTATTCATCTTTTTAAGGGTGGCCTGGCATTCTATTAAAAAAAGCTGGTACCTCTATAACTGCACTGCACTTTCATTTCAGAAGATTACTGGCTTAGGTTTTTGGTTAGTTGATTAGATAACTTGGTATTTCCTCGTGCGAAGAGTACTTTCAGAGCAAAATCTGACTTGTGCCTTTAGCATTTTAAGAAGTTTTAATTGAAAACTATGAACTAATCTGAAATTACTAGCACAATGAATCCAAGGTAGGTTAATAATACGTACAAAATCCTGATCATTATACATTTGCTAATTTGCCGGTAATGATCAGTCAATAGATACAGAAGTGACAAAAAAGAGATTAGTGTTATAGAAGTTCAGCCAACCAATTCGGTAATAACTAATAAGTTGTAGATTACTTCAGTTTACATTGAAATAAAAAACATGAAGTGCTTCTTCCTTCTTTTTTTTTGGTGAAGAAAAGTTTGGGTGGATTCGGTTTCGGTCATCATTACGAATCAAAACATGCTTCTAAAACTATGGGTTGCTTACAAAGATTTTTACAGGTCGCCCCGCAACACAACCTTTCCATCAAGCTTACGTGACTTTATTTTTTTGAGAAAGTGATCAGTCATTATTATCAACTGAACCAACTTGTGTTAACAATATGAAATTCTATAATTTCACTCAAAGTAGATCAAGTTAACAGGATGGCAAAATAATTCAATGGAATAAATGTAACAACTCACAAAATTCACCAAATTTTAGAATTGATTTCACTAAAAGTAGATCAAGGTTAATAGGATGGCAAAGTAATTCAATGGAATGAATGTAACAACCCAAAAACTCTATCAAATTTTAGAAAAGACGTACTATAAGATGCCGATAACCATTTTAGCCCCCTTGGAACTCTAGCTAAAATGAAGTAATGAACTATACTAGCAGAACAATTTCTTGATTTAACAGGGCGAATTTGAGACATCCAGTTTTATGAAACCCATACTCATTAAGCGGGATTTGATTATTTTATTTCCTTTTTTTTTTGGATAAAACATAAGTCAATATTATTAATAATCTAACTGAAAATCGTCCAACACGATTTGCTTGACAAAGTAATCTGCATTAATGGAAGAAAATATATTGAACATGTCACGGATATATTTTAATCTGAAAAATAATAAGATTTAACAAAGTTACAAAATATAAAAGATTACACTATGAATTATAAATCATCAAATTTGATCAATTGAATGAACCGCTCCATAGATATCTGTGCATGTCTATTCTCTCAGATCTGCTATCCAACTGGTTCAAGGTCAAAACTGATGTTGAGGTCTGATAAGAAGGCCCAAGAGATTTTAGATCTAACATATAGATCTGAAAAAATTATTAGATCTGAGAAAATAAATAACAAAAAAATAAACACTAAACAAAACTCTCAGCAAAATAGCTAAATATCTTACTGCAAGACAGATCAAGTTTGATCTTCTGGAAAAAAAAATTTGGCAGGCTTTCCAAACTCGTAGCTAAATATACTGGGAAAACAGAAGGATAAAAAAAAAATATCCCTTTTGTTTTAATTTGTTCTCTACCGTTTCCATTGACAAATGAAAATAATTAACAAGTATACCTTTAATTTGCCATTATCAGTCAATTAAACACTGAGTAGTGGGGTCACATACTTTTTAGGTTTTTTTTACACTATTTTTTAATGAAAATTGTCATTTCATTCATGAGATCTGCACTAATGATTGAAAATATATCATTAACATGTCATAGAAATAATAGATACACCAGATCAAGGAAAATTACAAATATTAGGTTCTTTGCACTGGTGACTGTGATTTTCGAGTATTGCATCCTACGCATGTAGATAATTAACTTGACATTTCATGTCTATTTAAGTTGTAACTAATTAATTACGATCGAGAGGAAAAATTACGTCAAACTGTACAGAGAATTGTTCTTTTCAATCGAACCTTAATCTCGTCCTGATGCAAATCCAACTAATCAAGTGTTACTAGATTAACCAAATTTAAACAAAAATCTACTGCATATTGGGTCAAATTAGAAGTAGATTTATAACTTTGACGATCGACAGATGCTACAAATGAGAGTTTTATCATGAATTTGTCAGAAGATTACTAGTTTAAGGTTACGTAGTGCAAGAATTACTTCAACTCAACTTGTGTTTAATATTTGCAATTTCAAACGATCTGAACCGATTGAATATCTTACTGTATATAAAGATATTCAAATCTCAACCTATCCTTAATACTCATCAAACTAGTCAAGAGTTACTGGATTAACCAAATCTTAAATCGAAGGTTTTTTTTTTTAATTTTATACATATTGGGTTAATTAGAAGCTAATTTATGACTTTGAGGATAAAAGCTACAGATGGAGGATTTATCACACATCTGTCAGAAGATTACTTGTTTAATATTGCAATGTCATCCAATCTCAGCCGATTGTCTAATTCTTGATGCATTGATTACCCGATTAAATAACAGTTACCACAACTAAACAGATGATATTAATTCTAAACTAGAAAGTAGAAAAAGAACCAAAAGTATAAATTCTCACGTCCAACATAAAATCTTGCAAAGGACCAAAATAAAGTATAAACCATATAAACTGGACTATTCTTCATTCATTTTTTCTTTCTTTTGATTTTTCATTTCTTGTATCCTCCAATCACACTTTGACATCGGAAATGGAGTCTTTAACAGTATCATCCAGAAGCAAAATGTTTGTTCTTCCTATTTGGCTTGTTCTGCTTGCAGACAAGCAGTTGTTGTTGTTGTTGTTGTTTTATTACACTTGGTACCATGTAACCAGGGCAGGGAATTGATTAAAGGTGGAGATGAAATTGTTTTTTCATAGATGGAGAATGGATTGCTATATCTTAATCTCTTGTTTAGGCTTCTTTAATGGAATCTTTTTTGGCTTGGCTGAGGAAGTGCTTCTACTTTGGCCTGTAGTGGCACTTGCTTCCAAGCCAGCAAATATTCCTAGGCATTCTTAATTAGCTGTTAGAATAAAATAATCTGTCAGTTGAAGTGAAATAATTGTTTATTTTATTGAGTTGGTCTTCAGCAGGATTGCAAATGAGTCGAATTACATCGAATTTTGGTCTAATCACGTCGAGTCTGGACTCAATTTTACTGAGTTCAAACTCGACTCAATTTTTTTTGCTTTTTCGATTTTAGGTTGGCAGATAAAATTTAATGTAAACAATTTAGTGACTTGCATATGCGAATATATAGATGAAAATAGCAAAGCATATAACATTTGGTTCAATTCCTTTCTTCTTCTTCTTCAACCTTATTTTGGACGACAAAACTGCAGAACGGCCAAGTGACTAGACAATTTCCGGTTACATCCCTTTTAAGCTTGGCTAGACCAGGCTTTTCTGTCATTTGACTGACTCGCCAAAGACAAAGATTCCGAGTTTTAAGTTATACCTAACCAATTACATCAGTAAGGCCTAGCCAAAAAATGACGAATATAAAGGGTCAAGCATCCTGCAGAAAAGTAATAATTTAAATTTAATATGTTAATTAGTAATTACTTAACACAAGTTTGATTAAGTTTTAGTGTTTCGTTAGTTTGCCAAACTTGATCCATTCTTGGCAAAATAAGCATAAATTAGACATCTATCACAAAATCAAAAGCAACTTAAGCTTGGTTGGATGAAAGTTGAAATTTGAGTTCGGCTGGATTAATAATTGTATCAAACTTCAATCATTTCATTAAAATCATACCAAATCTTTAAAATAAAAAAAAAACTGCTATTCAGCGTGACTCAGATCTTTCTTATCTAATATATGTCAATATTTAGCAAGAAAGTATTTTCTGTCAGAAAATTAAAGCAGAGTCTGCAGCCCTGCTTAGAAAATAGAACAACTTGAGTTAAAAATAGTATGTAATTGTGACAAAATAAACAAACGAACCCAAGACTAAGCAGTTTGATTCAAATTCTACAATCACTGTCACTATAGGTATAGTAAATTGAGAAATGAATTTGATTACAATCCGTAGAGCGTTTAATAACTTTACACCAATGGGTTTTAGAAATAAAGATGAGTGAAACCCTACTCTTAGTAGTTAATCATAAAACTCGTAGAAAGGATGTATCTATAAAACTCATTAATCGACTATGATTGACCTTAAACACGTTAGAATATTTTCAAACATTGAAAATTTGGACAGAATCCTAGGAGCAACTTTCTGCGTTTCGTTTGCAATCGTTTAAGTTTCAACCATTATTTAAAGACATAAAACTCCAAACATGTTTCCAACAACTATTAACTGTTCAGACGATATGAAAACTTATTTATATGGATCAATTTGGGGTCTTTTGGCTGCAGACAAAAAGATCCACAAAACTCTTGAAAATTATCACTCTTCTCTTCTTTGTTCTTGAAGGTTGTAACCAATGTTTTTAAAGTCGGACTGACCAGTGAATCGGAGAGGGGGCCGGTTCGCGGTCCGACCGGTCCGACCTGCCGATTCATTGGTTCTCTGTTTTTTTTTTTTTTTTTTTTTTGCAGCTTCAATGCGAAGTACTTCACGAGTCTTCACTCTACACTTGAATTTGACAGCTGATGCACAGTCTAACATGGTTATTA